GGCCGTGCGAGCGTGGCCTCGTTCGTTGACGATACGATGGTAATTTACTTTAACAGGTTCACCGGTACTCCAATTCTGTCGGTCGAATAGCAACGAATTTAATCCACTAGTTTCGAAGTTTCGTCGTGTCGCGCGTCACGTGCCGATGATCCTCGAGGAGAGCTCACCTTGGACGAGGGACACTTTGGTCCCCTGGCCGAGCAACGGCTGTCTGCATCGTTGGCAGTGGAAACAATTAGGATGAAAAGCGTGCTTGTCCCCTGCGGTGACCACGTCGCCCTCCACGTATTCACCACATCCTGCACATTTTGTGCCCCAGCGTTCCCTGTAATCCTGAAAAATTAACAAGCCCACACGATCGTTACCAACGATTCGCCAGACATCGTATCCCGGAGACATCATCCCGTAAAATACGCTCGTGTTTCAACGACGTTTGCTATTTCGTTTGTCATCGGGCGAAGATCAACGCTCGAACGGTTCGAGTAATTTTTAGCGAATCTCGCGCGAGATTTTATGGAGAATTTCTGTAGCGTTCGCGACGACGCGTTTATCGTTATATTCCGGAGTAATAAATGTATGAAAGAACTGTATCGCGAGTGAGTTTACATATTTATCGGGATTCGAGTTACGCGCTCTATATAATCGCGGTCCTCTCTCTATGTCGCTTTTATCGTCGCCTTGGTTTCTTATTTATACCAGTTCTAGTACCTTGGTGCAGTAGTAAGAGCCCTCGCGAGCGAAAAAGCCACCCTGCGCTAGGCTCGTGTTGCACTGAGCGCACTTGAAACACCCTATGTGGAAATACTTGTCCTGCACTCGTAGTACCTCCCCGCTGCACTTCTTCTTGCAAGACTGGCAGAATGTTTTACCTGGAATAAAAAAAAAAAAAAAAAAAAAAGAAGCGATCGAGTTAGTCCGATAGGCGACCAATCGTTCGTGATGGAAAAAGCAATGGACAGAGTATTTTCAAGTAACTTGAAATATTTCTTGAAGCTACTCTGCGTTCATTTAACGTTCATTCAACAACCCTTTGACAGCACTCTCCTGACAATTCTGGCTCCTCTCCATCATAGGTTGGCAGTGTTGAAGAATTCTCACGTACGAGATACGATCTTTGTGACACACTGCCAGGCACTCAAGTCATCGCTTGCATTTTCAGAATCATCTCGTATAAAGATTCAATCCACGTCCGCGATATACAGCAAGACATTTATATGGAAACCTCATTTATTTGAACGTGAATTGAACGAAAGAGAGAATCAATAAACTCTTGTTAGATGAACCACATGTTTGTCTCTCGGCACGCAGATTCGTAATGAAAGAGATAGGAAAGTTTTTATTGCGCGTATATTTTAATGGTGTAAAGGCAGAGTGACAAGAACCGAAATCTAATTTATTCGATGCTGGAACAATGGCAGAACTATTTTCCACGGGTACACACGCTTTCTTTGATGGCGTGCATTCAACGTCCGACGTTCAATCGCACGAAATGATTGACGAGTTATTGGATGGCAGGCCGATTGCCTGGTATTTTTATCGCGATCGCGAAATGCCACGAAGGGTGACGGGCGGGTGTTGTTCTGTGACCGGCGTTTATTAAGGTTAACGCCGCGCCGTCAACTTAATTTATCAATCTTAGTTCGAGGGGTAGCGTAACAAGGCCGGTGCCACGTGCAACGATCGTTCTTTTTCAACCAATCTCGAACAAAACGGCCCGTTTACCAAAGGCTTTCGTGCACCGAATCCCGAGTACCCGTCTGGTCTCGTTATCGCCGCCCGTTAATTTGTAGGACGCGTTCTTTTTTGCAAGGAGAAAGGAAATCTCTTGCCAGCCCGATCTTTTATCTCGACGATCGTCGAGTCTTTCACTCGTAGTGGATAAAACACGCGCAAACGAGCACTCCGTCGTTTTATCTCTTCCTTTTCCCAACGATAGTCACGATAGAAAAGCTAAAATCTATTTACGTTCTTTCGCAATGGAATTTAACGATTTTGTTCAAACTCGAACGGACTACCTCCTTAACTTCAAATCGTTAATTAATAGCGAGCGGAGTGGAACTCCGGGCTCGCGGGTTTTGTATCCTCTGTGCAACTTTGTTCCTAGGAAGCGGCAGCATCGGGAGCTGCATCGACAATTTCTTTGAAAACTCGCTGTCGATTCTTATCGTTTTGCGATCGTTGCAGCTCTCTAATTGGATTCTGGCAACGATATTCTTGTGTGATACGAACGCCCTGAATACCAACGCGATCTAATTTCATTCGTTCAAATATTTCCAATCCCGTAACGATCAAACAAATAAACGAGAGAGATTTTAAACGGCCTCTCGAAATTCCATTTTATCTGCCGCGATCCAGCACGATTTCTCTTTTACCTTTCTAACCAGAGCCTAACGCCACTTCCCACTTCTCCTCCAATTGATCTCTAAATTGTTATCGTACCTCGTAAAAATCGGCTACTCCCGTTTTCCACAAATCCTCAGGGCCGAGATAATCGGGCTACCTGTTGTCTCCGCACCCGCACGCGGTCGAGAGCGTAATCGACTGACGAGGCTCGTGAGATGTTGCTGGCGCGTCGGCTTAATCAATGGAAGTTCGGTCTAATCGGTACGTGACGCACGTACCGCTCGAATATGGTGCGTTACACGCGTAATCGTGTTCGTCGTTCAACCTCTAAATCGTGATCCGAAACGCGTCTCGAT